TGGCACCATGTTTTTAACCTGTATAGAAAATAGATGTTTGCCTTATTTGCATTCAGGTGAGTTCTGCCCGTTAATTTTCTTTTCAACACTTTAATTTCATAATTGTATTTCACAAATATTATTTTTTGAGTCATCAATTAGATATTTGTCAAAAAAAAACATTCCCTCCTCTAGCTGTTATCAAGTATTTTAGATTTGAGGTGCAACAGATATAGGGTAGCTGTCAAACAGCAACAGAGTAATGAAGATGGATTTTTGTAAGACGATATGATTAATGGTCAGCAAGTAGCACTGTCTTCCACCGTTCAAGTGTCATGCTTGATTTTATTATTTTTTTTGACCTTAAGTGCCATTCTAGATCAGTATGGCAAAATTACCAAAAAAATATTAGTATGGCAAAACAAGAGGAGAATGAGAAAAATTATAACATTTTGATATTAAAAATATTAAAATATTTACTTATAATTACAAAATAAATAAGATATAATATAAAATTTATTTATCATATAATTATAATTACTTCTTCTGCTCTGATCACCGGACCTTCCAACCCGGGATCCATGATTCGAGTGTTTTAAGATAGACACTCAACCATTAGGACTACGGAAAGGCAGGTATCTTCTTCTTCTTTTTTTTTTTGTAGTACATGCCGGTATCATATAATTTTAATTAGATATTTGAGAAAATTGCTCTACCCGACACATTTGCAAAACCTAGGTCCATGAAAGTCTGCTGATTCATGGTGGCGTAAAATGAAGGGATTTGACCTTGTCAGAGCCCGCAGGTCAATTTACTTTTGGCATGAGATAACGGAAGAATTGGGAAAATAGGACCATGATGCGGTCCTGGTCATGAAATTTGTCCCTTTAGGAAGGAGTGCAACTTGTGGAATGAGTTCATTTTTTCTTATGGACATGTAGTAATGGAGTTCCTTGAAAACATGGTTGTCCTTAGTCCAAATTAACGACTTCTTAATGGTTTAGGCACCTGATGATAAGCATTAGTGGGGTGGTTTTGTTTTGTGTGGTATTCTCCTTTAAAGTTTCAACTATAGCTGCTGGCTGGGCCAGATGTTTTGGGCTGGATAATGGCAAATCCTACAATTTGGCAGAGTTAGATTTACTTGGGCTTGCCACTTAGGTCTTGGGCCTACCTCAAGTTGATCCAATGGACAAAAGTTTGTTCTGCAGGCCTGAATTCTTTTCCTGGGTTTCCATGTAGGGGCCTGGCAATAAAATTTCCAGCCAATTTCTAGGATGCATAAACTGTTTATGCTATCCAATATCGAACTTCTTGTCTTGTTAAAACCAATTCCAAATTTCGAGCTAGTCATGCTTTGTTGTGATTTAGTTGGGTTTAATCTGATTGTATGCTGGAGATTTTGCTTGTGTGCAAAGAATTGATTCGCTTTTAACAATTTCAGAGATTTTGAACCTCTTCACACTTCAACCACATAATTGACTACAGTTTTTAGAACTTAGAATATATACTTTGCCTCTGCTCTTGGTGTATGTAAGAGATTGTCGCAATCTAAAGGGTAGTGCATCATTGAGTTGTAATTAGGTTCCATTAATAAACCTTCTTTTTATTTGGCCAATCAAAAAAAGTTGTAATTAGGTTAATCCGAGTTTAATTGGTTATATTTCAATATCTGGAATCCTTAGAGGGTGAGAATTTAAGTTTATATATAAGTCAAAATGCAAGTCATTTTTTCTTATGTTTAGGCTGTGTTTGGTTTGTTAGGGCAGCCTGGAAAATGCTTCTGGGAAAGTTGCTGCCCAGCTGCCCTTGAAGTTTGTAAGTACATTAGTTTATTAAATGGAGACTTAGTCAGCTATTTTTAGAATTGTGGTTTCTCGCAAAAAACACACCAAAAGAAAAGTTTCTTGAGGTTGAGGAAGTTGGTAAACAACCATTAATTTGTCAGCTGAACACCAGCTACACAATCCTGAATTAGCTAGACGAGCTAGCCGTCACGTTGTTTTATTTCTCCTGATTTTTTTCCCGTAATTTTGACGCAAATTAAATATATATATATATTTCAATTAATTTTTTAATCAAAACTTCACGTTAAACTCTTGAATTTATCTTAAATTTTTTATTAAATTTTTAGATTTTTATTAAAGTAAACAAGTTTATGATATTATCAATTTAAGTACTTTAATTTTTTTATAATGCACTTAACGCTTATTTATATTTTATTTGCATAAATATGATTAATATTCACTATATAAGTAATAATATATCAATATCTTATTTATATAAATAATCCATAAATGGACATTAAATTTATTATAAAAAATAAGGATAAAATTGTTAACTTAGCAAGTTGAAAAACTTATTTATTTTAATAAAAATTTAAAAATTTAATAAAAAATCAAAAATAAATTTCGGACTTAACATATAATTTTGCCATTCTTTTATGAGTTTTCGATTATACCATCTGAGTTGTATTTTACAGTAAAATCAAGATCATATGAGAGAGAATCTAGCAATCTTATGGATAATTTTGTGCAATTCGATACTTTTGTTCTTTCATTCATTTTAACAAGAGTTGATTATTTTATTAGCACAAGTAGCTGGTACCCTTTAGCCTGTAGACACTCACTGTACAGAGGGAAGAAAACAAACAAAGAGGTCGTAACGTACTCACAACTTTCACTAATTACAATGCTACAGCCTATGGGGAACTAGTTTTAGGAGATTTAAGTCTATAGTACAATCATTTCAAACTTTTAAATCAGGATGATCTAGAGAAGTCAAGTTATAAGGTATGCATTTTTATTAGAGAACATGTTTTGCGTATTGCACCATGCAACAATCAGTAAAATTAAAATTATTTGATGAAAGATAACTTTTAACATTAAAGATATATTTATTTGTATTTTGTGTGAGAAACTTAAAACCTTGAAATGCATTCTCTACTGATATATATTCCGTTAACAAACTCCAACCCGTAAGCTTTCCTTTTCCTGTGTAAGTTTGCTTTGTTTTAAAGAGTATATATAGTGGGTATCGCTGTTTCTGAGTGCGGACACCAAATTGACTTATGTGGCAAAAAGCACCCTGTAAAGTTTGTTTAACCTTTATTATTATTATTTTTTTCTTTCCTTTTCAACCACTCCACTTTCTTCCGCCTTTTTCCCATTGCCCCAGGCCATGAGCACATGATATGCATATATGGAGGGGAGTGACAATGTTGCCAGGTGGGGTTGCTGTTGGTAGAAGCCATGACTTGGGCAGAAAACAACTCTAAACATGAACTTGCATAAAATGGCGGGAGAGAAAAGGCTGTCCTAAATGGGTACGATTTTAAAATATTGTTTGTTTTGGTGGTTGCAATTTACTAATGCATTCATCGATTATTATATTGTGAAGACTCGACAACCTGGGTCGGGGAGATGTAGGATTTGACATTTTACGTGTTGTTTCTTTCCACCACTCTCTCTCTCTTCTTTTCTTTTGTCACAATTTTCGAGACCGTAAAAGCGTTGAAATCTGGAGCAAGTATCGTCCTCTCCGTTTGTCACTATGATGTACAGTAGAAAGAGAGTGAGAAAATGGTGGAGCCTTTTATGGTGGACGATACTACATTGCAGCACGTCTTCCGGGCACCCCCTTTAAAAAACACTACAAAAACAAGTTTGACATACCTTGAAGGACCATGACCACTGTAGTGTACTTACTAACTTCATTTTTTTTTTTTTTGTTATTTTTGAAGTTTTTCTTAGAAACATGAAGATGAGTTCGATTTTTTTTTTTTTGTGTCTATTTGGATATCTTGTGTGGGTTATTGGATTTATGTTCTTAATTTTTTGGCATGGATATTGGTAGGAATTGATTGAAACTTTAGCATAGGTTCATGATCGCCCACTTTTGGCTAATTTGATTCAATTGGATGAGCCCATTTTTCTGTGGTGTAATTAAGATTCAGAATTGCAAAACTTAGTGCCAGTATCACATTGGTCAGCCAGGCTTTGAAAATTTACGTTATGGCATAATATTAAATATGCTATGAAAACAGCATTAATTCATTTCACATTTTCACTTGCAAGGGAACAGGGTATGTCAGTGAACATGAGAAGCAAGTTGCAGCATAAATGACAAAAGGTTTTATTGCTCGTAAAAATACTAGCTACCTACCCTATCCCATATTAACTTTTGTTTTAGTAGAGTCTTTAAACTAATCCAGCTAATTTGCATCTAAATTCTCAATCTCAAATCCGATGGCTTGAATGTTGCTTGACTTTATGTTTTATTTAGTAGTGTTTGAAATTTTGAATGATAAAATAAAGCCAGTAACGCCTTTTCTCGATTGTTGGTTTAGTACTTTGTCAAAGTTGGGGTTGTTGACGTTCTCAGTTTTCTAGTCTGAGGGGCAAAAATGAAAGAGACTAATGAAACTGGCCTGGCAGAAATACAATGACAGAAAAAGGAAATTGGACCCATTAATTCCCGGAGCTACCCCCAGAGCCGGTAGTACTACTGCAAATTCATCGTTGCGCCAGGTCTCTATCTTGACACCAAGAAAGCAAATGTGTGCCCTCATAAGAATCCAAAGTCACCATAAAATCTCAAACCCACTACTGTTTGTTTTGCCTATGGTAATTTAACAGTTGAGTCTTTTCTCTGTGCTTTTTTCACAAAGGGTAATTTCAGTTTATCTGCGTGTATTGCCAGACATGGCTTGAAGAATGAACTCTCAAAAGTAAGACAACGAGAATCTTCTTTCCATTGGCTGTTTAGAACACTCATTGTATTGTAGCCATAAGATGATACCTTCTTCCACAGGGAAGGTTGTTGGTGTTGTCAATTTCTTTTGTTTCAGCCCAAAGGATCAAAACTTGCATGAATGCACTGTCTTTCTGATGGATGGGATTTTGAAGTACCCTTTTATGCCTTCCTTCAATAAGAATAATGTTCTCTAACCCTCAAAAAATCTTTTAAGTATTGTGATCATCTGATGTGATATATAATAGTCAATTAAATTCTGTTTTTAAAACTATCTAACAAGAAAAGGGCATAAATTAGGTGCCTTTGCTATGTTAAATATCATAATTATTTATAAAATTTTTAAAATATCTTTAATAAATCTTTATTATATATTAATTTATTAAAAATATTTAAATTTTTTAAGTATTATTATTATTTTAATTGTTCAGATTGATTAAATTTTTTACTTAGGAGTGTGGAATTTTAAAATTTATTAAGAAAAATTTCTGCATACGTTGCATACAAAAATTTTCAAATTTGTCGGAATGGTTTACTTCTGGGAAGAAAAATCGTAATTTATTACTCTTAATTAACACGAAATGCGGTAAATAAAAGTCTAAAGCAAAGTAGAAACGTAGTGATGTTGACCTTAGCCGTGGTTGTGAAGAAGGGGTAAAAAACGCAAAGTGAAAAGTAGAGACGTGGACCCTGACCATATCCGTCGGTCGTCGCCTTGAATTCGTCGCCCAACCCAAAAAGTGGCACGCCAGACGAGGGTCTTTTTTTACTTTTTTGTGAAAAACAAAAATACTTTGTGAGAAATTTTTTATTTTTTAAAATAAAACTTTAAACACAACCCTTATGTATAAAGA